AACTATTTTAGAGTCTTTTTCGATAAATCGCGATAATGTCACTGTTAATTTAAGTTCTGCCACAATTTCCATCTAGATTTACTACCTTTATACAACTATCAGTAGTAGAATAAATAATAAATAACATAAAATAAGCTCCGTAAAGACTGACAAATCCACAAAATTTCAAATCAAATTCAAATGTGTCAAATGAATCGTCAAACAGAACTGTCAAGGATACCCACCCTAGAGAGCTTTTTCCGCCCACCATGCATGAATACATGGATAGCATTATGCTCCTTCCTTAGTGTTAAAATAAAAAAAACACTTTAGTTTCTGGTTTTGCTTGAATATTTGATTCCAGTGCATCTCTAATAATTTCAGATCAGATTTTTGTCGGTGATTCCCATATTTTTATATTTTAGATAACAGAATATTTTTTGATTTTAGCTTCTTTCCAACCGACCGATATATCAAAATTACAGAATTTACCGATACATAATCTGTGTCAAAATCATCATAAGCATGCAAAAAGCCGAATAATTATATTTTAACATTGTCATAGTATTTTTAATTTTTACAAGTATGTCTCGGTTTGTGGGTGTCTCTGATTCAGTTTGGGATGACTGTCATTCAGTTTCAATTTTAAATGTGTTAATAAACGGTTTTACGATTTTTATGTATCTAATTTTTTTATGATTATATCGTATTTTTATTATACCAGTACACCAATACATTCAGAATCGAATATCGATATTTAATACGATCGATCTTTTGTTACCGATTTTTTTCTGGATCGATCTTGTTATGGCCGATCTTGAATCGATTCAAAATATCGGTTTATTTTATTTTTGGGACATACCTAGCTAAAAGTGTTATTTTATTTTGCGAGAAGAGAAGCTTATTGGGACACGACCCCGAAGGCAAATCCCTTCCCGAAGGCAGGGTCCCATCCCTTCGAACAAAATAAAATCAGTTTTAGCACACATATCGTACACTATTTTTTCTACAAACAAGTTTATGCTCGTATATATCAAGGTATTATTACTTTTTACGTTAGTGTATATGGTGAATAATTCATAATATGTCATTCTGAAATCAAATTAATTATGAAGTTTATGATTGTTATGGTAATATTATCGCTTCAGTGTTAAAAGCAAATCACGTGACTTACGTTTAGCTTTAGCACTAGTGCTAAAAGTAAATGACTTTTACCATCAGTGACATAATTTCACATTTTAGGCACTGACAGCATGCGTTAAAAATTACATTTTTACTGACGTTTGCAGAAAAAATATTTTTTTAATATCACTAATATAGAATAGAATTAAGAGAGTTGAAATAATTGAACACCAAAAATTATTTTAAGGGAATGAAGAACGCAGGGCAAATTTTCTCCATTTTATAATTAATGAGTACTTATTATTTAGTGTTTAATAAATGAATTTTGTGTGAAAGTGCTGTGAAATCTACGAAATATATTGAGATTTTTTAAAGATTCTATTTTGTTTACAGTGTACTTTTTGTAACTTTTCATAGAGAATATCATAGATAAAGGAAATAAATTTAGATTGTAAAGCCCGTCAAAATATATAATTGATTTGGGTCGCGACCGTTGTACGCGATCTGGCGCTGCTATAGCGGTTGCTAAGAACAGCCGCAAACAATATCAGAACTAATTTTCTCTTGTCAAAGTCAGAATCTTCAAAAATTATAAAATCTTTCAAAATTTAAACCGCCATCATTGAATACCGAAAAGTGTTTAAAGTGTCCATTTTCAAGGAAATTATTGCTACCTTGTGAGTTTAATTTAAATTCTATTTACTCAAACCCGTGATAATTGTGAAAAAATGGCATTAAAAACTTGAAAAGCTGTGTTGTGAACTGCAAAACCATCGTGGATCGTGGCATAACGTCGGTTTCCAATGTTTCATATAGATATTTCATACATGTCCTTATATAAAATAAAAAGTTTCTTGTATGCAACACACTGTATTTTATTTATAAAATTGAAAGAAAATAATAATAAATTTGAATAAATAATATTTGGCGATATAATTCCGGAAAAAGCCGAGCCGATCCGAAATTATCAAAAGCTTTGAGACGCGACCTTTGCCAGAATGGCGCCAAATAATATTTACATTGTCCTTATGAGCACTTTCCAATCTAAACTTGTTTCATTTATCTATGGAGAATATCTTAGGATATTTCTGACAGATCTCTGTAGAAGAAAATTATAATAGAGTTGTCATATTGTGACATAACTTGTGATTGTTATGTTTGTTGACCAGGACCGGATTATTTTGAATGTTCACCTAGTTTTGTATCTCTCATAACTCAAAAACGAATTCGTATAAATTACTCAAAATGAACAATTTGTTTCAAGGCGAGTAGTTTTAAGGAGTTCTTTAAAAAGTTTCAAAACATTTTTCGGTAAAAAAATAGGGAAAACTTATTCACTTTTTCGACGCTTCATCGACGATGCAAGACACGGTATATTCAAAATATACCGTACAAATAAAATGAAAGAACAACGAATTATTTTAGCTTAATGTTGTATACATTCCTGATCAATAATAAAGCCTGACTCTATCAAGAATATAAAGGAAACGAAAAAAGAAGACGAATTGATGATTGATTCGGTCGAATGAGCTAAATTATACTTATTCATACTGAGAACGCTGTCAGTCACATATATTTTTTTACAATGGCAGGAGGTCAACACGTCAATCAGCCACTGTCAATTTGTAATCATCGCACATCACAGTATTTTGGAGCGAGATTCACGTTTCAAGGTTATGAGATGTGTAGAGTGCACTTTAGGGCATCTGGCAGAAACATTGTCTTCTTTTATACTTACGAGGTAAAGTTCAAAAGTTCAATAGACGAAGGGGCTCGTCTTGAACCACTGCTCTGTATTATGGCTCAAATAAACATAAAATTTAAGTTAAGCGGTAAAAATTCATTTACTGGTAAAAACAGCTTTAGCTTACTGCTCTAAAAGTATTTCAGCATTGGTTTCTTTAGAAAAGTTTTCCACGCCATTGGTACTTAATTATTCTTGATTAGCTGAACCTAATGCATAAAAATTACTTTGAATTGAAATCTCTCTGAAATTTGCAAGTGGCTACTAATATCATTTGACTACATTTCTTCCAGAACATAGAGCTATATCCAGGAAAAATCTACCATATCTTCTAAGAACTATAAGTTTAATTTGTAAATTATTTTCATATTCATTAAGTCCCAAATGGCAATATTTTAGTTCATTAAAAAGGTACTTTTCAATAAATTCTCTGTAAAATTCTACGAATATTGATTTTAAATCTATACCTAACATTAACCGTTTTTGAGAAAAAATTTTGGACGAAAAAAACTACCTGTCAAAAAAATTTATATAGCCTAAAAGTCAAATTTAGTGAGTACCACAGCCACTGTAACATAAAGAGAAGACATGTGGCTATCTATTTCAAAAATTAAATTGTTCAAATGACATATAATAATGGCGGTAGTTCAGGTAGCTTTCATGGAATTGAACGATTAAAAAATTCTCTTAAATCATTTTTTTCAATTGGAAACCCACTTTTTTATTTCACTAATGAAAAGGTTTTTCAATTCGTTACTTTTTGAATATACATGTTCCTATACCTAAAATAAATCGTTTTTAAGTTATTTAAGATTTAATTTGAAAACGTATATTTTTCTTGATTTTATCTAGCTTCCTTCGACATTAAGTGTCAAACGGTCAGACAATTTATTTCCATCTGTCAGAAAACGAATTATTTCAATTTCCTATATTATAAATACTGCTTGTCTTAAGAGTTTAAAAAGTGTGTTTATAAAAATATATCTCGTATTTTCGCTCTTTAGTGATATCTAATAGGTAGTTGATATTATTAATAATATTCCGTATGATCGAAAAAAAAACGCGTTGGTCGGAAATGATGCTGCTTTTTGAACAAAGCCAGAGACAAAGCGTCACAATATGACATGGCCAGATCTATTGTTTTATATCACTTGACCTTTAAAGTCATGCTACTGGTTAAAATCAAGAAAAATATACGCTTTAAAACTAAATCTTAAATAACTTAAAGTCGATTTATTTTAGGTATAGGAACACGTATAGTCAAAAAGTAACGAATTGAAAAGCCTTTTCACTAGTAAAATAAAAAAAGTGGGTTTCCATTTGAAAAAAATGATTTATGATAATTTTTTCATCGCTCGATTCTATGACAGTTGCGGCCATTATTATATGACATTCGAACAGTTTAATTTTTGAAATAGATAGCCACATGTTTTCTCTTTATGGCACAGTGGCTGTGGTAAGTATTAAATTTGACGTTTAGGCTATATACATATTTTTGACAGGTAGTTTTTTTCGTTCAAAAATTTAAAAAATTTTTTTTTTCAAAAACGGTGAATGTGAGATATAGAGTGTTTAATATCAAAATTCATAAAATTTTTCAGAGAATTTAAGTATGTAATAAAAAATGGGGACAAATTAAAATATGTTTAATCGATAGATCTATAAAACTATGATGTACAAAAAATCTCCGATCTAGATGTTGTAGTTCTCTAGAAACTTCTAATGCACGTTCAGCCTGGGACACCCTGTATACTGTGTATTTTGCTTTCAGACCGACGCGACGGTATTATAAATATGTGGTTATGAATATCATATTTTAAATTTAGTTCATTATTGCTAAATATGTTTAGTTAATATTCAATTACATTTTCAAAATTTCAAACAATAAAGGTTCCTATCTCCAGAAATATATTTTTATTTCGGATTTCTGCAAGATGAATATCTGCCGTCTCCCTATTGTGTCTGAAAAAATAAAGTAACATGAAATAATAAGTTTTATTGTTCCTACAAACCTACCTTATATAGAAAATATGTATCAGAATTAATATCTCTATAACATTGACGACAAGATTATAAAAAGTCAGGAGACGTACCTACATTGTAAAAAGAGTAAGCTCACCTTTTTTTATGTATTAATATTGCATTTGATTTTCAGATTGTCAAAATGAACCTCTTGCTGGAATGTAAATGTCACGGTGTTTCTGGGAGTTGTACCATGAAAACATGTTGGAAAACCTTACCAACGTTTAGACAGATAGGTGACGCCTTGATGAAAAAATATTATAGAGCAAGGTAACTAATCTACATATACAGGGTGATTCAGATTTTACTAGAATAACTGCAGGTATCGATAGAACTAACCGAAATAATGATAGTTTGTATTATAAACCATACTCCAAAAACGCTTCCGCTTGGAGTAAAATGGCCCTAAAATTTGAATTATTTTTCGGTTTTTATTTTATTACTCGTAAGCCAGAGGATCTAAATACGCAAGTGATTGGTTAAATACTAAGGGCAACGTGGCTGATATGTGTGAAAAAAATTGGATTAACTGCTATACAGGGTGTTGTTTTTGTGAGTGTCAACTGCACTGAACCTTGTCGAACTTTTTTGTCGCACACCACTGGATAAATTTGTATTTTTTTCTGATACCTTCCGTCTTTTTACTAACTTTTCTTGTTCTTATTTTTTTGATATGTCATGTCGCTTAGTTTTCGAGATATTCCACAAAATTCCGGACATAGCTCAGCTGCGTTTGAAAAATGTTACTTAATTAACAGCATGCCATATGAAAATTAATTCAAATTTTAGCGCCATTTTACTCCAAGCGGAAGCGTTTTTGTAGTATGGTTTATAATACAAACTATCATTATTTCGGTTAGTTCTATCGAGATACCTGAAGTTATTCTAGTAAAATCTGAATCACCCTGTATAAGATGCTAATGTTTATCTGTGTTGTCTCTACTAAAGTAACGACTTGCTCTAGAAAGTTGCTTTTTTACTAAAAGATAGCTAATTGGCTCTTCTAAAAACTGTCGTCACTGGATTTTTTGTTTTTCATTTAATTAAAAAATATAAAAAGTATTTTTTTTCCTGATGTCGTGGCGGATGCGCCAGGCTTCAACTAGTAAGTTATAAATATCAAACTAGCGGCGTTCGTAATTTTGTAAAATGTTTTGTTAAAATCATGGTTCGCCATTTTGTCAAGAATTACAGTAAGTATAGTTCTTGACAAAATGGTGAACTACATACACAGGTCCACCTTAGAAGCACAAAAATGGATATATTACTTTGTTAATTAATAGAGAACAAAATAAGAAATAATAGAGAACGTTTAATTAAAGTATAATCTTTGTTTATACAGGGTGTTTCAATAAACATGTGCAACCGCTCGTGGGGAAATTCCTCACGTAAAAATAAGATTTATTTTTCATATCAACATAGGTCTGATTCTGCTGCTTGTTTCGCTAGTTGGGTGTTAAATTCTTAATATTTTTCGATTTACTATAATTTTCTTCCAAGTACAGTTATGAATCGAACGAAATTTTGAGTGTAAAAGTTACTATAAGTGCTACATATTTTTCATGCTAAAAAGTGTCGATACGTTCATTATGATGATATGGTTATCACTGAATATTTTCAAAAAAAACATGTGCGCCACTGACTTTTTTTCTTTTTGACATCAAATTGTATAGGCCGTTTAATGACAATTAAAAGTTATCTCTTGAATTTTGTCGAATTCGGCCTTCTTGATGAGATAAACGCAATTTTATTAGTCACAATTAATAAAATTAAAATAAAAATAAAATTAATAAATTATACAATTATGTATATTTTACCTAATTTATTATTAAGGTAGCTATTAGACTTGGAACAAGGCAAATTAATAAAATTCAACATCAAGAGACAACTTTTAATCGGTATAAAATTGCTTATACTATTTCGCTAACAAGAGAAAGAAAAGTTAGTGGCGTACATGTTTTTTTCAATAAAATATTCCAGTGATAACCCATATGCGCGTCCTTGGTAAATATGTCGACACTTTTTTTAGCTTTAAAATATGTCGCATTTATAGTAACTTTTACCCTCAAAATTTCATTCAAAACGATAAAAGTACTTGGAAGAAAATTATAATAAATCGAAAAAATATTAAGATTTTAACACCTTGTAGCTACGAACCAAAGCAGAATCGGACCTATGTAGATATAAAAAATAAATCTTATTTTTACGTGAGGAATCTCCCCACGAGAGATGGCACATGTTTTTTGAAATACCCTGTATAGTAAGGGGTATAACGGGGTTACGCGTTATTTACGCGCAAGGTAGTTCCGTAGATATATTCCATATTAAAAGTTACTTTGAGGTATTTATTAACTTAAGAATCATCTTTATATTTTAGAGGTTTGTTTTTTTCATTTTATTTCATCTTCAATTTTGATAAAAATAATAATATAATAAATATTATTTAATATTAACTACTATAAAATAATGACACTTGCAGGTTGTTCTTCCATGATTCTAAAACAAGTAAGCTTTTGTATTTATCAAACTATGCATGAAAATTCATTTTTATAGAAATAATTTGACACAAAGAGCAAATGGGAATGAATCACTGCTTTTTGTGGTAGAGTTGGGTAAATTCTTTCAAATTCTGTTGAAATATTAAGTTATGGTCAGTTAATCGTTTGTCAGAATGTAGAATTTTTGAAAGAATGCAAATATATGCTTTATTTAGCTAATATTTATTAAAATTAAATATTTTTTTTTGTTTAATTGTTTTGAATAAAATCTCGTGAGCATATTAAAAAATAAAAATTATGAGAAGTATTACCGATTTTTAATTTATAGGCTAAATCGCTTATTTGAATTAAATAAATTCTATTCAATAACTTATTCTTTGCCCCATATAAGTAAAAAGTACTAAAACAAAATAAATACATCAGAAAGATACAACTACAATATGAACAGAAAAAAAAACCGCGTCGTCAGTGTCTATGAAATGAGGCTTGCTGTAATTTTATATGTTAAATTATTTGGGGAATATCATCGATGTTTATTTCGAAACTCGAAGCCAACCGGATACCGTTTTTTTTTCGATCATAGGGTATATTTCTGAACAGAAATTGAAATATATTTGTATACAATATTCAATACAATATTTATTTACTTGAACTTTCTTATATAAATCAAATGAATTGATTGTTTATAGCTAATCTCATTTTTCAGACCGGTAACAGCAACAGCCATTTACCTAAATGCCAGGCATTTGGATCCAAGGAGACAGAGGAAGCGCCATTTGGTGCTGACTAAGGGCAAAATACCGATCAAAAAAACGCCAAAAAAATCGGAGTTAGTGTTTTTGCAATTGTCGCCGAACTACTGTGAACGAGATTTAGCAGTTGGCAGTTTAGGAACAATAGGAAGAAATTGCAATAGAACATCAAGAGGTAATTAATATTTTCTTTTCTTTAATCAGTGCTGAGCCTAGAGCATCTTTCACTTGGGTGTTTGAACTAAAATGGGGAGAAGTACTTGTCAAGACGATATATTTCCAGTTGAGAAACCAAAGGATATAATACATGTTTTGTGATATTTCAAATTTGGATTTTTTTTTGAAGTTATAGGTACCGGGTGCGCCTCAAAAGTGGCTCACCCCTATAACTTTTTTATTTTTTCAGATAAAAAAACGAGATTTGGTATGTAAGTATATTAGATAAATAAGAATTGATTGGACGTATTCAATTGTTTTTAGTCACTTCCTGTTTTAGTCAAACCGGAAATGACTACAACTTTTGATTTTTAAATTGCACTCTCGGTATTTTTTTACTTTATCCAATAGAAAATGACTTTCTGAATAGAATGACATATCATATGTCAACTTTTGACATACTCGCTTAAAATAAAATTGAGTTTTAAAATTCAATCTAGAGTGCCATGGTTATAAAACACACTTATAAAACAATTAAAAATACTAATTCTTAGCCAAGGAGCCTTAGAAAAATAGATTTGATCGTCTAATGTTTTTAGTGTCTTGTCCTGGCCAGTTAGAAAATGCTGAAATCGTATTTTTAGTCATATCCCAAAAAAAATTAAATGGAACGAGGGTGGCTCATTGGCATATTTGGAAAAAGCATTTTTTACAAATAATTTGGTACCACACACTTGATTTTTCGAATCAAATTTTCGTTACGTACCGCAAGTTATTATGTCAAATAAACCATATGCGAAAATGTCAAAAGTTGACATATGATATGTCATTCTATTCAGAGTGTTATTTTCTATTGAATATTAAAGTAAAAAATACCGAGGGTGCCATTTAAAAATCAAAAGTTGTTGTCATTTCAGGTGAAACAGGAAGTGACCGAAAACAATTGAATACGTCAATCAATTCTAATTTATGGCATATACAAACATACCAAATCTCGTTTTTTTAACTGTAAAAATAATAATGTTATAGGGGTAATCCACTTTTGAGACGCACCCGGTATACAATTTTAAAAAAACACTTGTGTATATGACTACAGGTAACATAGTATATTCTTGCGGACGTGGGTCTTTAACTTAAAACACACTTATAAAACAATTAAACTGTATCACAATAAATTAATTACATATAACACACTAATAATTAAAATAACGCTTTGTTCAATTTCTGGTTCCTTCACCCTGCTGTTCGCAAGATTTATGATCATTTTTTGTAGAAAAAAATTATATTCAGGCTTAAGTGCTAAGTCGGTAACATTGAAAAATGTCCTTCCAAGGTTTGGTTTGGTTTTTTATCACCACCAAAAAATTAAAAGGGAACATTTTGTTTATTCAGTCTCTTAGTATGTGAGCTTTTATTGTTGTCGCTGTTACACTTGGGGTATATGACTTCATTGCAATAGTGTAAGTGATATACAAGTAATCACTAAGGGATTCTCTTTCATCTAGCTCCCATTTAATAATTGTGTATCATCTGAGTTATTGTCAAATCCAGGATAGATGTATAGTTACTGCTACGAAAAGGTGGGGGCACCCAGTACCTATATTTGATTAATCTAGTCCTTTTTTAATATATAATTCAAGAATTTAACTCAGATATTAAAAACATTTTCTTTTTATTTTAGGTACCGATGGTTGTGATTTGATGTGTTGTGGCAGAGGTTACAACACGCACCAGTATGTCAAAACAACACAGTGCAAATGCAAATTTCACTGGTGTTGTAGAGTAGAGTGTGAGACGTGTAGTGAAAAAGTAGAAGAATACGCCTGTAAGTGAATGTCTTCTTCAGTGATACCTTTAGTAAACGAAGGGAAATCTAATCAAAATGTATATGCAATTTTTCGGAAGAAAGATAGACCCTATTAAAATTTTCAATAATTATGTTGTCATATAAACTATTATTGCATGACGTAGGTTGTCTTAACTGAGATATACAACATATTATAATCTAAATGACAATTAAAATGTATGTAAAAATGTCGCGTTACTTAAAAAATACTAATTTTAAAAGCTAATGAAATTCCTATAAAATGTTCTATATTCAAGATATCATCGTTACCAGAAAAAAATTTATAATGAAAGCATATTGTAGTCCAGGGGGCAGTAAAATTTTTTTGTACTTATTTTCCCAGTGGGTGAACAATAGTTTGTTCGGATGGTGACATTAAATGAAAATTTGTGAGTGTGGCTAAAATTTTCGGATGGATTTTCTAAATAAAATAAAAAAAGTCCACTTATTTTTCCAGTCATAAATATTTGACATTTATTAAAGTGAATCATTTTATTAATGAAAATTACAGTCTAGCAACTCTCAAAGCAAAAATTTGACAGATTTTTGATATCCATAACCCTTACTTTTTCATGCTTGAAATTTAACGTATCATTTGATACGAAATTGACAAATAAATCTGGCGGAATCCTGAAAATTGCAAAAACTACAAAATTTTTGCTCTTATTTCCCCGGATTTGAAAATTTGTCACATGATAAATAATACTGTCATTTACAATCACGAAAGCCCCGCCAGATTCGCAGAAATCAGATCGTACATTTCGTATTTTTAGATGCGAAAATTTTTGACATTCTGCAATTTGGTGATTTTCGATATAGGAAAATCAAGAAGCATTACTTTTAATTTCAAAAATCGCTCTAGATCCAAACACATTCATATGATGAAGTTTAGAACAAGTCACCTTGACCAGGTTTTTTAGAGAATTAAATTTCCTACAACAAATATTTGACATTTATTAAAACAATTTTCTTAACATACAAACGTCTTTCAAAACACAAAATACACTTAGATCTTAGATCCATTTTATCACATACTAAACCAATGAATACAGTACAACAAACAAAAAATGTATTATACCAAATACCCTGTGAATGCGATAAATTTTACATTGGTGAAACATCTAGACCCTTAAATGTTAGAATTAAAGAACATAAAGATTATTTTAGAAAGGGAGATTTTCACAAATCTAAAATTTGTCAGCATTCATGGGACACAGGGCACAGAATAAATTTTAATAACGCCAAAATTATAATGAAAGAAGAGATAGCCTCTAAAAGAAAAATAAAAGATGCGTTTTTAATTCAGTCTAATAAAAATAAATGTATTGCTCATGCATCTGTAGATGTTAGTAATGTATGGCAATCGCTTCTTTGATTTTAAAGAACATAACATAAATAAACATAACATACGTAAAATTTAAAAATAATCATACAGAAAGTTTGGTGCTTTTTGGTTTCACCTTATTAAGTAATTGTTATCAGATAGTAATTGTTAATTTTGAAGTTTAACTTGATATAATCTCTGATATAATGTCATTTTAACAGAACGTCAACGGTTTCTTGTAGACGTATCTGTTTTAAAAAAGTAAAGTGTTCTCGAATAGTTGAATTTAAACATTTTAAATAGTTTTTTTTTCTTTATTCTTTGTATTTTTTGCTTCCGACGACGGAAAGAGATAACTTTCCGAAACGTTAAGCATTTTTTTCTTTGTTAGGCAAATTTGTATTACTGTAAACATAACTTCTGACAAGCAGCGTCCGTTTAGGTTTAACGCAGAAGTGTTTACAAAAGGATTTTTTTTGGAGTGATGAATACGCCACATTGGTATAGACATTTTTTACAACTTTCTTGTATCTCTGATAATTACAATGATATTGGCGAATGAAGTTTTTTGATGACTGACGGACTAAAACCTTGTTTTATGGATTCTTGGTCCATTCCTTCCTTCCATAGTCAAATTTCGCCCTAAACTAATAATGTTTTTATCGTTATGTAATTAAGAAAAGTAAAAACATGTAGAGATTACTTATTACATCTGTATAAACGCGTATTTAGCGCGCCTGACGAGCATTGGACGAGTCTAGAAAGGCTTTCAGGATTGTTCCATATGAGCCAGACTGCATTTACAGCGGTAACTATAATATAAACTATCATCTGACAAATTTTTGGGCCTGCGAAAATAAGGGCAATGGTTTCAATAATGTTTATCCATTTTTTTGCCAGACATATTACCCATTCTCACAGATTATTTTTTTTTGTCTTAATTGTACAACATCTCTTACTAATAGAACTATTTTTATAAAGCGTTTTCCACCCCAACTCATCATATATATGAAATTTGCTTAGAATAAGATACAGAATAATTCTATCGGTGTTTTCTGACTGGGAAAATAAGTACCAAAAATCTTTACTGCCTCCTGGACTATTGGGAGTATCAATTGGGAATATCCCTATCCCCCATAAATAATATGGGGAAAAACTGAAATACATATTAGGGTATATTTTGGATTTTACCGCAATGTGAGTTTCCAATATGAACTTTTTACCTTACCCCTGAGAGAGTAGCACCTCGTGTTTTTTTAAACGAACTTACATTGTGTCACATCACGTGGTTGAAAAGCTTAATACTTTCTCATTACAGCCTAATATAAAAGTTTTAAATTGTAATAATCTTTTTTGGGATAGCATTGTTTAAAAGTAAGATCTTTGAAAAACTGGCAATTTAAATATTTTCTAAGATAAAAAAAATCATAAAGATCAAATCCAAATCCTCGGATATGTACTTCAGATCTTCCAGAGTAGAAATTATTGTTGTTTAATATTATTTCCGCCTGTAACTTTTCAAATTGTCACTCTGTGTTTTATTTATTTTTGACGACCTATATTGTAGATGTAAAGCCATCATCAGATCAAACCTCCCAATATATTTACGTAAATGTAGGTAAAAGAAAAAAAAATGAGCAATGTATTAATATTAAAAAAATATGTATATAGTGTAGACTGCAATTGGCTATAATTATAATTTTCGTACTAAACTACATAGTTAATCAATTAAAATTTATAATTTTTCTTTGTGAATAACGAATCTCATTTGACTATAACTTATTTATTTTAATCAATTCAGTCTGATGTTTGTGTATGATTATTGAAATATTTTCTTGTAAATCTAAGGTCAGTAACTTATATAGGCTTGGTGCATTCTCCGCCGGTGCTGCCTCAATCGGAGAATCTCGTAAACAATCGGTATATACAAATAGACGGGTTTAAATAGCGAGTACACGAAAAAAGCTTTATATAATTCTGATAGTGTTAGGAAGTATAATTTGTGAAAATTCTAAAAATAAAAAAGTAAATATTTGGATATATTCAGAAGGTGTCACTTGTATTATAATTTATTATTGAAGCTAATAAAGAAACATAGTCAACTACGGTAGCGAGCATAGTTTTACGCACCGGTTTCGCTAGTGAAGACACCACTTGGGCTATTTCGGCTATAACGAAATTTTTTGAAGGTACATAATTATAATTTTAGAAGATATTCATAAAAAATTTAAGCACTAATTGATTAAAAAAGTATACCATTAATATTGCAAATTATATTTTATCCGGGTCATAGTAAATTTAATTTTTTGAGTACGTAATGGGCAGTTTGTTTACTCACTTGTTTCGTTGAGCTGCTTGAATCCATTTTTGATTCTGATCAGGTCAGTGTGATAAGCTGTGAAGCTGTAAAATGTTGTTTCAGGAGAGTTGAATCTCCGGGAAAGTTGAGTTATTGAATGCTATTGCACCCAACAACCCCGTAATTACGCTCTCTTTTAGGCGTTAACATTTGTTCGGTAAGTTCATTAACATTTGAAATTATTGTCACAACACAACATGACGCCTAGTTCGGATTTCTTTTTATTTAATTTTTGCTACCCGAAACCCGAAACAGCGTTACATCACATAAACCTTGTACTTGAGTTTTTTATGGTTTCAATAACTGCACAGGCAAAAAACTAAAATACTTAAATATTATGACAAAGCCACGATTTCAATATCGGACTGAAAATGACGGCCTGAAATACATAGCGAAAACTTCTGATTTCTGCCGTTAAAACGCTGCGGTCGGAATTTTTTTAAATCAACTGAAATGCACCAAGCCTATTTATATTATAGTTTTATTTATATCAAACAAAAAGTTGGACAATAAATCTAATAGAATATAATAACACATAGATTTTTTCAATCAATATGGTTTAATTTTGTTACCTCGATTCTAGATTAATTTTGTTTCTTAAAAATAATCATCAAAAACATCGCAAACGGCATTATTTTTCGTATTTATTTTACAATGATATGCTATTTAATATTCTGTATTTATGATTGATTTGTGATAAACTTCTTCACAGTATTCTAACATTCCAATAAATTAGTCTAATGTTAACGTAGTTAATTTATAATATTTGTATTATTTTTGTCACATATTTATTATGTAGTATGCTTTTTCAATATGTATATATTATTTATAAATTACTTAATAAGTTAAATATTATTCTTTATAGAAATAACAATGTATAAGATTGTGAACAAAAATGCTATAAGAATGTAATAAATAAAATATATAAAATAAACTAAATGCGGCTGGTATTTTTTCCCTTTATTTAAGGTTAAGCTTTTGTCTAAATTATACACACAGCACCGGCGCCGGTACGAAAACCGGGCAACTTAGAATTTTGATGTATTTTAAAGTTTAATATATTTTGTTCTAGTGGGCCAAATTTGATGATTTTTTAAGCATTTTGTAGATAAATTGTTTTTCTTTTTATTATATCTTTCTAAATTAAAAATGCAAGTTTTCATCTCAGTGGCGGACTAAGCCTGTCGGGGGCCCGGGGCGACGAAGCTAAATGTGGCCCCCCGTCTGTTCAGATAATGATATACTTCTAATGCACCTTTTGTAAAGATGAAATGACGTATGTATAATGGTCGACAAAATTCAAATATACAGGGTGTCCCAGGCTGAGCGTGCATTAGAAGTTTCTAGAGAACTACAATATCTAAATCGGAGGTTTTTTGCAAATCATTGTTTCACAACCAGATCAGACCAAAATATTTTCAATATTGTGGCACTTCCGAAAGTACCGGAAGTTGACAGCAACTTTCTTATTTTAAATGGGTGTACCCATTTTTTTACATTTTTCCTTTTTTTTTCCACACATTTTTACTTAAATTATCTGTAAAATTTTATGAATTTTGATATTAAACAGCCTGTAGTTAACGTTAACCGTTTTTGAGGAAAAAAAATATTTATAATTTTTGGACAAAAAAAACTTCCTGTCAAAAATATGTGTACCTATAGCCTAAACGTCAAATTTAATGATTACCACAGCCACTGTACCATACAGAAAAGACATGTGGCTATCTACTTCAAAAATTAAATTGTGTGAGAAAAAAGCATTGTAGCCGAATCTCATATAATAATGGCCGCAGCTGTCATGGAATTGAGCGATTAAAAAATTATCATAAATCATTATTTTCAAATGGAAATCCACTTTTTTATTTCTTATAAAAGTGTGTTTCCTTTAAAAAAAATGATTTTTGTA